TGAATTATAAGGAAACTATATCAACAATTATTACCAATCATTCTCCACTTAGCACATGAGAAAAGTGGCGGTTTTACACAAAGGTTGGCTTGATAGGGGTTTTGACGGCGCAAATTGTCAAATTGCGTTTTGCATTTTTGAGAAGAACGGGGGGGGGGGCACATTTTCATGAGGTTATGCATTTTTGGAAGAAACAATATTTTTGTTTCAGATTCATTTGAAAGAACTTCAAAAACACAGAATAAGGGGAAAATATGGAACAGACACTGCAAATGTATATGCTCTACAACTTTTTCAAATTGACTTTCACTTGAACTTTTTTTAGAAGTGGAGAGCAATATAATTTTTTGGAAGAGAAGGTATACCCCATTGACAATGCCGGGAGAGCATCTTTAGTCATTTGCTCAGTGCGGCAAAATTTGAGTGTAACTCTAGTTTAAGATTTACACGAACTTTTAAGAACAAAAAAATGTAATTAATCACAATTAATATTATAAGTATCTTATATTTGTGTATAACCATTTATTATTATTTTTTTTGGTAGGAGCAGCATTGGCGGTTGTCTTTCATATGGACTTAAAAAATCAGCTTCTATCTGGCTATTATAATTTCACTATTCAACTCAAATTAACACGGGTTTAATAACATCCAGGTTGCTATGAACCCATCTATAATTATTGGGAAAAATAGCTTTAATTCAATTTCACAAGGCAATATATACTCATCTATATTTCATTCAAAGAAGTTGTCATCAGACACAATCTAGATATTTTAAAATTGTCATGATACCAGTAAAATTATTTGGTATACCTGAATCTTGTCATCAACAGGAAAACTGTTGACAAGGTGTTTATATATTCAGTGCATAGTTTAAGAAATTACGTCTTATAATAACTTACATCTATTTTGCTCGAATGAATTTCAATGCCGTCTTTAAATAATATTCTTTTTATTTTTAGAAATGAAGTATTTAAGTCCGGCGTGACCCTATGGTGCATTGATCCGTCAGTTTACACTTGAACTTGGCGAAATTCCATCCGAGCGGTGCATTCCATTAATGATGACAATGAGGTTAAGCATCTCACCACGTAGGTTGACACGAGCCAGTCTTACAGTAATTCATTCATAACCGAGTCAGTCAATATTTGTAGGCCCAGCAGGGAGTATCGAAGGCTTTGAGATAGTAGACGGCGCTGAGAACACTGACGTCATTGGATATGGAAATAACTGCGGGATCTGCTTATCTTCCCTCCCTGCTTGCTGAATGAAGAAGCCTACTCACTTCTATTTTTAATACCCGCCAAAAACAAAAAAAAAAATCTGTTTGTTATTTGATTTATTCTAGCTAGGGCTTTAACGAATCCAACACTATTTTTATACCAGAGATCGCAATAACTTCAATCATATTTTCAAAATTCGTGAATAATGACTGATTCCTGATGACAATTTTTTAAAATAAAAAACCCAATGTGCAATAAGTAAAAAATACATAAATCCGAACAGGATTACGACGTAAACGACAGTATATGGCACATTCCTATATGAAGAACATTGAAAATATAAAAAATTATACATATACATAGCATTTTATTGTTTAAAATAAAATAATGCAAACTTAGCACTCAAAATACTTTTAAAAAGTTATATTTAAGGATTGTAATTTTTAACAGGGACAGTGTAAAATTGGATGAGAAAAAATAGAATTTTTCAAATTAACAAACTTTTATATTATATATTTAAAAAAAAAAAATGTCGTAGTTATTATTATTTTTAATGTCGTATATATAATATATAGCATAAATGGATATTTACATCAGTGATACTTATTGGGTGTGACAGTTTGTAATATGTTTTAATAAAACATTTTTATCTCTAAGAAAAATCATAGAACCTCTTTTTATTATTGTTTTATATTCCTACTCCATTTTTTATTTTCAAGTAAGATTAGTATTTATCGCAGTTCTATATAATATATTTTTTATATTCTGTTTAGTCTACGTTCATCCTACCTTTACTAACTTCAGTGGTATGCGAATCATTCTGGGGTTTAGAAATCGGAGTAGTATTAAAATTGTAATATTATAACACGGCCACCTAAACTTTTTATAAATACTTTTATTTTTCTACTCGATTAATATTTTTGGGTAAACTGATGTATTTTAATTCATTCATTTCCATAGCATGTCAATCAGACAATTTAAAAGAACCACAAGAATAAATGACAGCAGGGGTACATATAAAAAATAATAATACATCCTACTGATCAAGTTAAAGGACTCCACATAAAAAAATTAATAAGCAATAAGAGAAAAAATAATTATTATTTACGATGTTCAAAAGGCCAATATTCTATTGTATTGTAATCTATGATCAATGATTTAATATGGTAAACTATTCAGGAAAGTCATAGCAATCACACCATACAATATAGTTATTTATAAACTTTTGTATTAACTATTACATATAATTTCTGTTATAAACTTGGCTAAATTAGATATGCGATGTAATAATTTAGTATAATGTAATAAATACATATTGAACCCAATAAAGGTATTGTTTTTTCAACCTATAAATTGTGAAGATTGACATTTTTTTAATATATGTATCGAAATTCCAGTCAAAATAAGTATTGACAAAAGAAGTAAGGATATGAGCTTCATTGCTAATCCATGTGAGATTTAAATTATGCTACATTATCTTCCAATCAGTACATTGGTTTTGGAGTATTATTGAGCAATAAAGACTTGTCCTATCATTAATGGGACTTCTTTTTCTTCTCCTAGTTTTCTTGAATAAATCAGTGGTTCTATCTTTGTAAAAATCAATGTTTATAAAGATAATGAAATGTCTGAATAGTCTGTTTCTGTAAATCTAGATTGAAGAAAATTCAATCAAAATATTTTTCTTTAAAAAAAAATACAACCCTATTGCTAAAAACTAACAAGAGTAAGGATGTGAACCAAAAGCATTTAAACTTTGTTGAGACAATAAAGGTAATTTCTTATCCTCCTCCATGTCCAGTAGAACTTTGTTTTTTAGTTCATAAAAACATTAGGTTTGGAGAAAAAAAATTTTTTTTTTTCTAATATATTATAAAATACCGAGTGATCTTTTGTAATCTTAAAAAAAATTAGGTATCAATTAATTGCTTATATTTATAATAAACATTGTGCTAATAAATGTTATATTAATAATGAAGTTTTTTCTTTAACATATTATGGATTGATCATTGGTGTTTTAGGTCCAATTAGAAAGAATAAGTGGAATTCAATAACAATTTAAAACTTAAGCGTTTTTACTCTGAATAAAAAGTTTAATAAAAGAATGACTATATGAAGATACATTTTATCAATAAATATAAACAAAAACATTTATGGTATTCTTTCTATATCCACAACATGTATATTAAACACAGGGTTTCTTTCCACATTCGGCAACTAGTTATTAACTAATTAACGTATTGGATTTATAAGATTAAAAAGTTAGTACATTCTGATTACTTTTAAAAAAGTTTAGAAAGAAAATTAATAGATTGTCGCTATCATGGAAAATTCTTCTATGTGCATCTTATTTAACGGATTAAATATTATTTTTTGGTTTAAATTATACTGTTTCATAATGACAAAACTGAAGGTTCAATAAAACTTGCAAAAGAGTAATAACACGAAAATGTTTCAATATATTTTTAAAAAAATCTGTAACATAGATAAGAAAATACTGTTTCTAGATTAATAGTTGTGCAAAGAGGTGATGGGTGAGAATCATGTTTTTTTATAATATAAATACATAAATAATGTATTATATATGTTTAATTAAATATTGGGGATAAGAACAACTTTCATTTTCATTCATTTTATTCGCTGCTACATAAAACAATACTTATAATCAGCAATGATACCGCCACATCTTCAAAATATTTTCACTAGAAAAATAAACCATCATTCCTGTTGTCAATGTATTAAAATAAAACCAATACAATTTTACTTTTTTTTTAATTGCCAAAAGCTTGGCAGTTGATCACAGCTAGTTGTTGTGGAGTGATATTGTATTTTTCTGGATAAAATGTTCAGGAGATGGAGAGACCATCTCTGAAACATAAACACTGTTGAATTAATTAGTGAAAAGAAATAAAAATGAAAGTTGTTCTTTTGTCAATATCTCATGTATGACAAAAATGTTCATCATAATAGTTCAGTACTAAAAAAAAAAAAAAAAAATCAGTATCAGAACTAAAATAAATAAATATCTATTAAACAGTACAAATAAAATTTACTTCTATTGGATATTACTGGTGAATGTACGTTTTCATTCTGATTGGTCTACCATCAAGCTTTATGTTCAATGAACTTAACATGAAGACAATAATATATTTCTTGGCCCATCATAATAATATGAAAAGATTCTAGTGATATAGAATTTTTCCACTGATTGCAGAATAAAGTTCACTTAGTATAAATATAGAGAGAACCCAAGCATTATTATAATGCAACTTTTTCTCACCTAACTCTCTCCTTTCCTGAGTTTTCTCTTTTCCACCATCGAGCAAGTTAGTTAACTCTTCTGTATTAAAGGTACCACTATCCCTCTCTCGTTGTAAATCTTCATTCACCTTAACCGCGACCATTGTAATTTAAAAAACGAATAATCAAAGAACAGAATTAAACCACTATATATAATATCCCCACTCCCTAATTAAGAGGACACTAGAAACATCATGTCACGTAACACAAAACGAAAACTCTAGAGGTTTGCCATCCCCTTGATAACAACTCATAATAGAACTGAGTAACTGTTTCCGAAAGTGACCGCGAAGAGGAGCCACTGAGGAAGTGGGAGGGGCTGCCCTGTGCTGCCACCTGAGTGGCGCTTGCGCAACATAGCCCGGCACCAAGTCAAACTTCAGTCGCACTCCGGTCCTTCGAGGATGTATTAGTAGTCGTTTCGGTGGTTTTTTTTTGTTTTTTTTTTAGTTTAGGCGCCCTTTAGTTTTTTTTTCTTTTCTCTCTTCCTTTATTTTCTGACGTCTCTGTACCCCGAAGCGACCATGTCTAGTAAGCAACCGGAGGTAGAACAATTTAAGAATCTGGTGGTCCGGATAGATCAAGACTCGGACACTGATTTACAGGCCTTGTTTGACTCCGTGCTCAAGCCAGATTCGAAGAGGCCTCTCCAGGTGCCATTTCGTATGCGAAATTTGCCTAACAGTTTTTTCAACCCGCCTTCAACCGGATCCAAATCGCCATCGGTGTCGTCTATATCTCATTCGCGCGAGAATTCGGCCGATTCAGCGTTCGGAGCTACGAATACTACAGTGTCTGGACTCCAGGTGAGCCACCCCAGGGCCCACAGTAGCCCAGCCTCCCTGCAACAGACTTACGCCTCTGCGGGCCAGCAGCCCACGGCAGGACATCACCTCAAGCAGAGGTCTTACGACATGGACGAGCTAGGACCCTTACCGCCCGGCTGGGAGCAGGCCAGGACCTCAGAAGGACAGATATACTTTTTAAAGTAAGTGGCTTACGTCAGAGCTAGTAGAACCGGCAACGGCGCCCCCCACCAGCAATGGTTCTCCTCAGTGCTGTTTGCTCTCCTTTGTATTTATAGTATCCCCCTCTTCATCGCCAGAATCCTACCATAATTAATATGTTTTATTAAAAGACAACCGCTGCCATCTCGTTTACAGATTCCATCGGTTTCCTGTTTCCTCTCCAAAAGATGCCCTACCAAAGCCTTTCACCCGCCCCCCCTTCACAACACCTTGCATGTCCTTAAGCACTTCCTACTGCCTCGCCACTTCCTCAACCTGCCCATGTTTGCTACCTTGCGGTCCCACTTGACTGTGGTCGTAATTATATATTCGTTTTAATTTATTTCATTACTACAAATTCGATTCTTAATTTAAAAAAAAATACAATATTCTCGTTAAAAATTAGTTGTCGAATCTATGAATATGCCATTATCATATCAAATAATGATATAAAAGTAATTAAATAATTTCACAATTATTTTGGAATCAGTTGGTCAAAGTAATCAAATATATGTAGTCCTGAATACAGTTAAGAAAGTTGATTATATTGAGGAATCGTCAAAAAAATTAAATACTTTTAAATAAAGATATTTGTTAATTATTTAATTTTTCTTTTTTTGTTTTTTATATGAAATTGAACGAGTTTTCTCAAAAGAAAGGAGGGGGCGTTTCCCATTCACCGTATCGTTGTCGAAGTATTCCCGTGACATTTACCTTGTTATCGCGTCGAATGTTTTTCTCAGAGCTGTTCAAATCTGATAAAGGAGCCCTACTGATGTCCATAAAAGCATTTGAGGATTTTTTAAAATAATATCCTCGTGGATATTTAAGTGGCGGTAGAATATAAACAAAGAGGGAAGAGGACGACAGTGTTGCCAGAGCGTGCACCTGACAGTGTTGTCCACAACAGGTTGTTGACAATAATCCCCCTTCTCCCCTTCAAACTTTCACCCACCTGTTGAAGTTCACAATTAACAGTTCGGACCGGCACCGTTATCCGTTCTCATTCACCTTTAAGTCCATAATTGATAATTACTCACTAAGTTCCAATAATATAAATCCAATTTTCTATGAAGACATGTCTTTTAATTATTATTTTGAGAAAAAAAATAGGCATTTCAGCTCTAGTGTCATAAATTGATTTTAGGATAAGTTTCCATTGTCTATTACACAATAGCCCAATTCCAGTTACATCATTAGAAATTAAATAATTTCGTTGTGGTTTTAAATAATTTCTCATTACTCATGTATGTAGGTATGAGTTGAATCTATTTTATTTGAGCCGTTTTATTGTACTTAATCTCATAGTTTTATAATAAATGTATTTACTATCCCCAGTTATTCATTTATTTAATTTGGTACTAGAAGTTGAAATCTAAAATGCTAGATAATTAAATTTGACATATGTTTCATTGAGAACCCAAGGCTGATGGGTGGTATCGTTGCCGTTTTAATTTCTTCTAGGTGCTTGAAATTGTGTTAAACAAATCTCCTACTTCATCATTATCTTTTATTTTTAATATAATATTTTTTAAAATAAACTATAATGGGATTTTTCCATCTTTGAAAAATATATTCCTTTCATTTTGATAATTATTCATATATTGTTATCTTATATATACCTCAACATATCTTTATTACTTCTCCATCTTCAGAATGATTTTCTAGCGTAATTACATAAAAAAACCTAAGAATAAAGTTATTTTAGCAGTATTGATCTATATATAATGTCTTCTATGTATAATAATTTTATTTATATGTTGATATTATTTGTCTGTCATATATATTATTCTTTCCTTTTCATTCCGTAATAACTGCGTCGTATTTTTTTTTTTACATATATTTAAAAAAATAAAATAAAGAATCCTATAATGCCTTATTTATTTATATTTCAATATTTGTTTTATAATCATAAGCCTTTTTCTTGTATTCTAAATTACTCTATAATTTGAATCAAATGTACCAATAATATAATTAATTTATTTATAATATCTGCATAGTGACCATTGTTGGCGTTTGTCTTATGATTATCATCGTCATTTATGTTTTTGGTTATATGGATTTCTTTCATTGTTATTTAGATGTAGGTGTTGTTTTTTTGTGGTGTTGTATGCTAACGTTTTTATTTTTTATACTATTGCTCTTACTGTATTTTATTTTTTTCACAGACATAAAAATACAACTCTTATCCTTTCGTAAGATACTAATAAAATACTAGAACCTTTTTTTTTTTTTATCATGTTTAACCTATATGTTTAATGATACTATGAATTCATCTTCTTCGTTTATAACCATTATCTCTGTTATTTCATGTCTAGCAGTTTTTAACGATAAATTAGTTCATCAACAACTTATGTCAAAATTTCACATTTAGTTGATATTCTATTTTCGAGCTAAATGATTACAGAAATGACATTTACTTTGTGAATGTCTAAAGTTTTAAATATTTTTGAGGGAACATTGAATAATTGTTGTTCCTGCAATTGGCTGCAGAATCATTGTTAAACATTATATAATACTTTCGAAAAATAATTCATTATTTATAATTATTTTTTATTGTTTGCAATGCCATGACATATTTTTGGTAGTTTTAGATTTAACATTCAATTGCTCTAGTACTACTTTCAATTTTTGACATTCTCTATGTTCTTCATCTTTGTCTGTTAAAACAATCTGAGCTCAATTCGAATAATTTTTGTTTGTATTAATTTTAGCTTGAATTCTTTAGTTCTGAGTTTTATATTATAAAAATAATTTTACATTAGAATAATTTTTAATAATAAATTTAAGGATACTTTGCTAGTTAGAAGTATCAAATTGTTTATGTACGTCTTATTTATTAAAAAGAACATGGAAGTGTAGATATGTGCACTAAATTAAATGATGGTACTTACTACTTCATACGTGTTACTTCAATACAACGTGTAAAATAATATCTGCCTAACTTGTTAAAGTGAAATGCTGGACGGTTTTTGTTCTGATGTTTATTTATCTGATTAGGTATGGTAAGTTGAAAAGATAAAATGGTAGTTTCTTGTATGAAAAATTGTCTCTGTACGTTGGGATTACATATTTCACCAAAATACCATTTACTTACAAAAAAATTGTTTAATTGTGATATTCCGCAATGTTTGTGTTATGTTTTTTGTCGTATCAGTGTATTGTTCAATATTCTTAAAAACTAATTAATTCTATTGATCACTTCCTATACTGATATAAGCAATACTCAATCTCATGAATCATTAGAGGTCGTGGGGTGTATCAATTCAGCAATTACATTGGTCTTGTTATTGGTTAAATATTTTTTTTAAATTTTAATATTGATAAAAATATTATTGCATTTAAATTGTATTACGCTGAGTTGTGTTATAAGCATTTGCTCGATTTATTTGTTTATTGGTATTTGATTCTTCTTAATTTAAACAATATTGTTATAAGGACATTTGTTTCTTTACCTAACTTGTTTTGACCTATACCAATTACAAAATTAAGATTCAAGACCTCATGGCTCACCTTTATATTATGACAAACATCAGTTACTCATTTAAAAGACTTTACTACATCTTTTCTAATTCATAGACATAAATAATATTATATATGTTTCGGATGTAACGTGTATTTCATCTGGCATGTAAGGAAGGCATGATAGACCTTGATTGCAACAGGAAAAAAAATTATTCTAGCTATGGTCCAAAAAAAAAATCCATGGTTTTAGTTCAAATGAAAACCTCTTATCTGATAACTCAGTTGCTTGACAATTAGCGGAAATCCTCTAAATATGTTTATATTATTTCCGCTAAATTTGAGGTAACAGAGCTATTACTTATCTAGTCCAATAAAAAAATCAGTTCCCACGTTATCGTGTGAGGTATATTAGTTTCTTTTTTAATTTATTGGCGAGTTTTTTTTTTCTATTTTATTTTTGAACAAATCCATCTAGATTTTCAACTATATCAAAAAATTCTTTTAATATTCCAAGTAAATATTATTATTTCTAAATATATAATATTATTATATACCTAGTAAACATTTTTTTTATATTCCCGGTTTATTAAAAATAGGTACACAATTTATATGTAAACATATATACATTCAAGCAGCAGTATGAATGCCAAAAAAGCTATGCAGCAGGCGGAAATAGCTTGTGAAAAAATTGCAGAACAGCTAAAAATCCTAAACATAGATGTCAATTCGGAAAAGACGAAAGGAATTATTTTCATACAAAAAGAAAAAGAAAATGCCAAAGAATTCAAATAACAACCAGTATTAAATTATCGACTGACTTAACATATCTCGGTATTCACTTCGACAGACATTTAAAAATTTACTAAACATTTTGACAAAAAAATTAAAACAGTAAGATCTAAGACATACAGACTCCAAAATTTAATTCGGACAACAAACCTATCTTTACGCCTAAAGCTTCTAATCTATACAAGTATAATATGGCCGGCTCTGTTGTATGGTGCACCTCTGTTCGAACACATCAGCAAAACAACTCTGAAAAGATTACAATATTTCCAAAATGGAATAATTAGAAAATTGTTAGAGGAACCACGCTGCAGAGAAAGAAGACAGTGGATATACAAACAACAATAACCTTATCAACAATAAAGGAATTTTTCGCAAAACGAAAAAAATCATTTTTCGAAAAATCCCAACAATTGGCAAACCCAATTTTTAACAATTTGTTACCAGCCAATATTCCAAAACGTTGGCAACAAATCACATGAGATAGATGTTTTATTAATTTAGTTGTAAGCTCTAGAGGATAAGGTCAACTCAAGCCAGAGGTGAGCCCCATCACCTTTATATTACAGATGGAGAACGAAATACTTAGAAACGACAAAAATCTAAAAATAAACCTTACAATGCTTTTAAGCAGTAAAAGGTGTATTATTAAGACAATCCAAGGATTAAAGACAAAAATAAGTAGAAAGGGGCTATGGAAAAAAAAAAAAAAAAAATCATGTATATATCC